GAGCTCTCCATTTCATTATCTGCTCTGACACTTCTTGATGGGTTCTTTTCTTAATAGTTCCAAAGTCTGGAAAGTAATGAGGTAAGCTCTCCACTAACAAAAGCTACTGATCCCTTCAAAAAGTTCTAACTCCGCCCTTAACCACGCCCACAACGGACTGCTGCCTTTTTTTTACTTTTTAGTGAGATCTGTTTGGTTGGTTTGTTTCATAATCAGACAAAAAGTTAAGTTCTCCACTTTTTAATCACAGCTATCAATCCTTTTAAAAAGTTCTAACCCCGCCCCTGACCACGCCCACTTCCGGTTGTGCTTTTTTTGCTTTTTGCGAGAATCCCTTTAGGCCCTATAGTAGGGCCTATACCCTTGGATGACGGTGCACTTGTTTTCCAAATTAGAAAGTATAGAATCTTTGAAGTGGGAACTATTGCCGTATACTGTAATCGTACTGCATAATCTTCTGTACTGTATGCGCACTAGTGCGCTTCTCATAAACGGCCTTTACTACTCTAAAATAATACTATATATTTTACATTGTGTGCCACATCTCAACGCGTTAGCACGCGTCAAATCCTAGCGCGCCGACTATACGGTAACAGTAGCATACTGTAGCGGTGTAAAAGGGCCGGATCATTGACCCCCGCTCTAGATGCCACATTTTGACCCATAAAGTTGTGTAAAGGGCCGAGCATACTTCACGCGATTTAGGTCGCGAGCGATTTGGCAATATTCCAATTTCCCATAACTCACCGTGAGCACATTTTGAATGTACAGAAGATAGGGCATTTTATCAGTCCATGTAAGTTATACAAACTATGCATGTGCATGCTAGCGTTGGATCTGAAGACTTCTGGCGAATTGCCAAATCGCGTCGCCACTGAAATCGCGTGAAGTATGCCCAGCCCTTAAAAGGAGTATTCAGTTTTTCTTCAGTAACACCTCTCATCTATTTATGATGCTAAATACATTTCTCTTATGACATCAAATCTTTGGTATCTAGGGACTTTATTATACAAATTTGCGTCAAGTTTTATTTCCCCCCTTTCCGTCCCCCTTTTCTCCGATTTAAGTCTAGCCATGTAGATTTGTCGTGTACATTGTGTTATTGCTGGCCAGCCGTAGACAAATTTTGAAAAAAACATAGACATATAATTGCTCGACCATGGTCGACGTGCATCAATCGCACACATTGTGCTAGTTTCACGTCTACGCGCGTTTTGTACCTGGTGTGTTAAGTGCAACTGCACCAAGTACGTGAAACTTGTAAAATGGCTAGTATTGATAGCTTTAAACCTGCTGTGTTATAAATAAACTTTTGTTTATACTGCGGGAAGCATTGAATTTCGAACGAAGTTATCGTTTGATTTACTAGGAACACCTGTTCTTTAGAAACAAGCAATAATTCAAGATGGAGTAAGAGTTTTTGTTGAATGCATGTGACCTGTTGTTAACGCTGCTTGTAAAATTGTGCTGTCTTTTCAATCCTTTCCTCCCTTTTTCCTCCTCCCTCCCCTCCCCCCCCCCCCTTCTCCTTCCCTTCTCAGAAAAAAAAATTCGGAAGTGAAGGGGAGTGGGGGGGGGGGGCGCAGAAGGAGAAAATACGTGCAAAACACACGCGACTTGTAGCTCCGCCCACTTCTGCACCACGCCAATGAATCTTGTTGAGACCTGTATTAGCCATACAGTGTTATTTTCTCCCGCCAAAAACGTTGGAGGCGGAGCAATTCAAAATTGTCGGCTACCAGACTTCTAGAAACATACTTCACATTAATTATATTGTTATAAATCATTATACAGCTGAATATTTCTTTTTGCTAAAAAATTCCATGACTACATGTGACCCGATAAAACACTTTTTATGACTTAATTTTGCCTCTTCTTCCCTCATTACCTGAAAAAAGTTTTTTGAGGGGGGGGGGGGCGGGAGGGGGGAACACGCACACACGCATAGAGGGCAACAATGCTTGAGGCTCCCCCACTTCTGCGCCATTTTACTATACCTTGTTAGGACCTGTTTTAACCAATCCAGTCACTTATTCGTCATGCTGTGGGCGGAGCTTCTATTTTGGGCGCGAATTTGAAATCATACAAATTTATAAATGATGCCACTTTTTTCTTTTGAAAAAGCCTGTCGACATATTTCTCCTAATCCAATTTAACTCATTTCATATTTGGATAGCTGATGTTTTATCTTTTGTACAGCTCATTAGGGAGCTCATCTGATGTCTGATTTAGTTTTTCATAATCATTCATTGGGATGGCAATAATCACAGTTATTTCCTCAACGTGGGGTTTCTTCGTAAACTACAATTAAATGAGTAGTCGCCCAGGTAAACATAGTTTTATGGCTATAAATATTCAAGAGCAACGAGTCCAAAAGTATTCTACGCAGATTTGCGTACTTGCTCCTTTTACGCCGAGCTTCGTGACACTTTTTTATCGTTTAGCTGTTCTATTGTGAACATGTGCAATTACATATCAAACAACCACTCGAACATAGTGCATACGTCTAGATCAGGTGTTGGCTATCCTGCGGCATCAGCTGTATTACTGATTCCTTGATTTGGTAAACTAGGAATCAGCAAACAAATATCTCAATTTTTTGAATTCAGTTTTTTTAATTTCTTGTTTTACTTTATTAACAAATGACAAATGAAATGACCAAATGAATATGGTGCCATTTAGAGACCCATAAAAATGCAATGTTTTTTTTCTGGAACTAAAAAGTCCAGACAATTAGGGAAAACTTGCCTGTCTTTTATTTAATATATTTGTTCATTCCGAATACGTGAAACTTTCAAATTGAGTCAGTCTTTTACCCTTTCGCTTTCCTCTGAAAAACTCTAAAAACTTCTGCAAACTCTTTGGCATAATTGAAGAAGACACAAGAAGACACTAAAGACCATTCGTAGGCATTCTTCTGACGGGCATGGGTTAGAGCAATATAAAAGCAAACATTTACCCGGAGCTTCGATCTACAATTTTTCCTTTGTCAATTAAATTCTCTCGTACTTTTTCTCATGTTTATTATTTTTGTTTATCATTTCCTCTCCTCAGGAGGTATGATACGACGAGCTTGGAGGCTCAAGATGTTCAGTAGCGTACGCTAGAAAATAACGAAAATATTTCTAAAAATTTGAAAAATCCAAAAAATTGGTTTTTCATGTGTATATATCAAAAAGCTACAATCCTCATGGTAATTTTAGAATGACAAAAAATTTTAAATAAAATTATAGAAAAATTTTGCTCAATCGTAAACTTATGTATCAATCCAAAATCTTGAATTCTGTGAAATCTGCAAAACCGGTGAGGTTTAATGTGTTGAAATAGTGAGCAGTTGAGAGAACGTAGGCTAAAAATGCTAAATTCACATTGAAGAATTTAAGCCAGCCTCAAAATTTGTGTAGTTGTATAGTATTGCCACCAAGAAAAAGACTGCGCTCTAAAAACATCGTAATTAGCGCTCTCTTCGGCCATCGTTCATTAACCAGTGCCCACTCCAGAACTACTTCTGAGAACGCCAAACATGTACAAAGCTCTAATCAGGAATGGCCAACCCCTCCTCCCCCCCCCCTCCCACCGCCGCCCCCATCTTCTCATTCTGGATATTTGCGTAATTATGGCCGGATCATGCGTTGTGAATGCACTTTCTTGGAAGCATTACTCAGTATTCGAGGGCATATAAATGCTATGATAGCCCTATACAATACCGCTCACATTTTTTGAAAAAAAGACGCGAATGTATGGACATGTATGGACATGTACGGACATGTCCATACATGTATGGACATGTCCGTACATGTCCGTACATGTCCATACATTCGCGTCTTTTTTTCAAAAAATGTGAGCGGTATTGTACCACACCTTCATTTCTTTGTGAGTTTCTAAACTGGGCTCTAAAGGTAGAAAAAAATTTAAGATTTTGCATCGTGAAAGTCTCTAGACTTTTAAACTGCTGGTTCTCGAATCAAACGCATAATTGTTCTTACTTCTGTCTCCAGGACATTCTCTAATTTATTATTATAGACCGGTTATTGGCCATGTTTTTAACTTTCTTAGAACAGGTTCCAAACAGTTCCATAAAACATGAACATGGAAATCAGTAACTAATTTACTGGAACTAATTAGATTTTTATAACTTCTTCTTTTACATATTTATGTCCTTATTTTCTTCATCTTCTTCTCCTCCTTCTTTACCTTCCCCATTGTCGGCAGTGTTTCAAGTTTATTTTTTTTAGTTAAAGTATTGGATTACAAAAGGATCTAGTTGTTGGGTTTCTTGAATAATTTTCTACATTTCTCATTTTTAACCATAGTCTTGAGATGGAATCTTGAAAATCAAATTTCAGCCTCCAACGAATTTGTAAGCTCTCTCCTCTTTCGTTGCAATCCTCTGTCCAGACCAGAATTATTTGAAAACCCCAACCATAATGGTAATGAGTATCTAGAGTATCTTCTCTTATCGTTTTACATCTTCGCTGGTTGAACATTCTAAAACACAAACTGACTGTTCATAAAAACTCTTTATGCTATTCTTTCTGAAAACTTATTCTGTAAACTAAGTTCACCAATGTTTTTTAATGAATTATCCGTCTTAGGCAAGATTATCACAGTCATATTATAATCGAAGTGGCTATTGAATTTTCACAGATAATATTTCTTTTGCATTTAGAATCTGTAGGAGTCTTACAGAGGTTTGCCGCGAATTCTTTAAAAAAATTTTCTTTGTTTTTAAGCTTTTCTTCTCTTTGTGAATTATATTCTCTGCATTTTCACTAGCTTTAATATCTTCGCCGGGATGTACATATGGGAACAGTCCAAAGTTCACGAAGCGGTTGGTCATTGAATGAGTCGTTTCTTGTTCTCTTATTAATCGTCCTCTTTCTCTGATTGATGATTTCCTTTCCTAAACTCATTTTTCATTTCTTGCTGTCTTTCCGCCACAGTATCGTCTGTCCGGATAAGTAGTATATTACTTACCTTTTAAATCTTCCCATGTCCAGATGAATGCCACAATGGAAGCTGAAGAATCACAACCGGATGAGTATGTCTATGTACTTCCGATTATTGTTATTCTTGGACTCAGCGGCAACATCATCAGCCTCGTCACAATCTTTCATTCGAGGCTTAGATACGTGAGTAAACCAAAAAATTTTCAAATTTTGAAGTTTGCTAATTGAAGATGAATGGGCGACAGTTTAAACAAATGAAGGAAGTGGATTTCATTCGTTTTATGGTGGTTAGGTGATAATTTTTGAGGCAAAGTTTAGGAAGAATAAAAAATTTAAAAAAGTGGTCAACCCCGAACTTGTCTGAAAAATTGACTAAAGATCATAAATTTCAGCAAAGCTGTCTAAAGCAGCATCTTATCGTCTATTTAAAATTTTTGACTTTGATTAATTCTTATTAAGATTACAAAATCCTACTTTTGAGTTACTTGTAGTTTAAACTGTGACAATGAAAACGAGAGCGAATACTAACTGGAAAAAAGTGCTTCTTGAATATTTTTTGATTTTATTTTTCGTGATAATATGTACAACTGCCACAATAATTTACAGCATCTATACGAAAATTAGGTAGTAACCATCTTCTTTGATAATCATGATTATGTGGGGGGGGGGGGGAGAGAAGGGAAGGATGTGGTAAGGAGTAGAAATTTGTCTGAATGAACATAATCCTGAATTTGCTTATACGTGTTTAATGGACGCCACCTTCACGGACAACTGGTACACACTATGATGTATAAAGGCAAGCATTTGTCGCAGATGTCCGCTCTCTTGACCGCATAATATTCTCTACCAAAAATTGACCAGTAAAAAATGCTCTCGCACTATCCTCTCTTTAAACTTTTTTTTGCACGGTCAAAGTTCCTGGAAACTTTTGAAGAACTTGCTCAGCGAGCAAGGCAAAAATTTTTCGTAATTACTAGTTTAGACCTTTCTATACCTTTTCTAGTTTGGAGATGTTATCCTTGTGGAAACTGATGTATGAATTTGTGTGATTCATTGCTCGGCTATTTACGCTGCAACAAAATTAACCCTTGTGAGTAAGATAACTGGCAGTTAGAGACGCATTTACCATAGTCGTATAGTCCTCTCGCAAATTTCTAAGTGCTGTCGTAAAAGATGTCAGTGTTCAATTAATGTTGAACTTTAAGTACTGAATAACGCGTAAATCACTTATAGACTTACTTCTCAAGAAAATGTGTTCGTCTCACGCTTTGACGCAGGCGATGAAAAACCCGGATATTTGGTAATGCACTGAGTAATCCATGGATTAGGCTAATCATGGACACCCCCTTGTTTTTTTACCTGAGCTCATAAGCATCTCATTTCATAGGATCTCAAAAAAGTGCCCATATTAGCGCTCATTAAAGGATTAAGGCAGTCGTGAGGGTGTTGGTGAGGTCAAAAGCACAAAAACGTATGCGTCAAGCACAAATTATATTTACTGGAAATCAAATAACAAAAGAGTAAAGGCTTATTCTGTCATCTGATTGTGCTTAATTGAAGAAGGAATGAATCGTTTGCAGCACTATAGGATGCTACCGTAGCCCTATTAGAATAAAAACTCGGAGACACAAGCGCAGATAGTTCTTTGAAAATATATTTATGAAGCAACGCCTTAGATTGCACAAAATTTCGTTGGTTTTGTTCCTCGAAGCAGCTTGAGTTACGGCAGCATACCTTACCTGAAGCAAAAAAAGTATATCAAACTTTGTTCATTTTCAGGTAAACGCCAACGTATATCTGATTGTTCTCACTAGTGCTGATAGCGTGTTCTTGTTTGGAATTCTGCTCATTTGTTTCAAGGTTGGTTTGATTTGTTAAATTTGCATTTTGATTTCTAGAAGCTAGAAAAAATCGGGGAATTTGCATCACAAATTTCTACTCACCAGAAAGTTTCGAAATTGATAGATCTTGCGGTAGTTCTGCTTAGTTTTGCGTGTTGAAGTTGAAAGCCTATGTTGGCTCCTTGACAAAAAGTAAGTAATTTGCTGCGGCGCGAAGCGTCCTTGCGCGTCTGCTTACTGTAGATTTCCTAGGGAGATGTAGCCCGTAAGTACACAACAAATATCAAGTAAATCTTTTAGGTGGATTTCATAGCCTATGAGTACTGCGTCGGCTTGGAATACGTACTCATGACGGCATCCTACCTCAGCAGTTGGTCAACGGCGGCATTGACCATAGAGCGATATTTGGCCATAGCGCATCCATTGCGGCATGTTCGGGTAGGTGCTTGGGGAACTTCCCTTATTCGGTCCTTTGCCCGTGAAGTTTTTTTAATCGTAGTTTACTAATTTGCGACTCTTATCGTAAGCCAAAAAACTCCTGCTTTTTTGACTTGGTGTGTGCTGTGTAATTGCACACAAATGCGAAAGTTCTGAAAAGAGTGCTTTCTTTTAGTATGGACATGTGGATCGAGTACGGATGATAGCCTACTGGGTTCCTATACCCTTTGTTCTGCAGTTATTCCAATTCGTTTCATTAAAGCCCGTTGATGGCCTTGATAGGAAATGTGCGCTAAAAGAAGCCAATTACCAGGTATGATTTCAAGACTTTTTTTCCTAGTTTTTTCATTTCATGTTTTTCAGTTGATTGCTCAAGCAGTGGACACAATTCTCTGTTACCTTTTGCCGTGTTTGACTATTGTGATTTTGAACATTCTGGTAGCGTTGAAAATCAGGCGGTCGGCATTTCTCGATGCTGCTAAGCAGCAAGTATCGCGGCGACAAGGAGGTAAGCTAAAAAAATACTTCAAAAATATTTTGATAACAGTTTAGCAGTGGAGGTCGCAGGATTTCCGTTCAGGGCGCCAAGAGAAAAAATCTTGGGGGTGCTTCTCAAGATTTCTATGGGTCCATAACCCAAAAAACTAGAAAAAGAGGGCGTGGCTGCAACCGCGCCCCCGGAACAAATTTTTTCGCTAGGCTAATTTGGATTTTTTAAAAATTCTCAAAATTATTTTAATTGTTTACAAGAATAAACAGATCACTTGCACATTTTTATAACCCATGTAAGCGAATTTCAAACATTTCGCGACCCACTCGCGGGGGGGGGATGAGGGCCCTCGGTCCGCCACTGCAGTTTAGTGATAAATTATCTCTTTTGAAAATGCATCACTTATGTAGAGGATGTTTGAAAAGTGTGTGGCCTTACACTGAAAACACGCACCTATAGGTATAGGTGTTTATAAACATCAGAAACCTATTGAAGGACTGGTCTTTGGAGTCGAGATAAGTGACCTTGACTTCTCGTTGCGTGAAAAATATTTTCCGTTTGGTGAGAGTTTAGGTTTCAAAAGAGGAAGAAGTTGATCGCGCAAGATCTGGAGGGTCGGGGGAAGGCGGGTCGATACATAGCTCAGTCCTGTTTCGTATTACGTTACTCTACGCAGGACTTGTGTGCGGACACTTTGTGTTGATGGGAAAGATTTTGAACTTTAGGTCTCATAGAAGGGAAATCTCAAAAACATTTCAAAAAAAAAATTATTCGTTATCGTTTTCCCCATCTCAAGGTAGTCGACATCAAGATCTCCGTCGCATCCTAAAAACGGCAGATAGAAGTCCAGTCAGGTTTCTCTTTACGACTTTGGTGGGGGCTCCTCACCTCTGTCACTCCAATCGTGACATCTCTTTGGACTTTGAAATGTAAAGGTGGACCCATGTTTTATCTACGGTTTTGACCGCCTCCAAACATCCCCGGTTTTTCGAATTCTGCTCAAAATCTTTTCAAAAGCCGGCAGTCAGCTTCTGCCTCAGAGCGAGCGCACGCGGCACTCAGTATGCCTGAAGCTTTTTCATTTGCAATCTCCACGACTGTATGGTATGCTCGCTCCAATGATTTGCAAAGACCTGGCTACGTCCTTCATACTAAGCTAACAGTCGTCCATAATCATTTTGTACACCTTGCCTTGGTTGTCTTCACTGCTTGCTGTTTTTGGGCGATTAGGACGAAACCTATCGTGGTTGTCGATTCGGCCCCACTCAAACTTTCTAACCCGGTTTTTGACAATGCTGGTGAAGAGCATTGCCTTTGTGCACTGTCAAGCTCAGCTTTTACCTCGGTATTGTTATAAACCTATATATCAACGTGCTAGATGACCGCACAAAACTCCTTAGCAATCATGATTGGAATTATTCAGATTTTCCGATTTGTTTGAAATTAACCATAGGAAAAAAACAAATTGATTCTTGTTGTTTTAGAATTTTTTAGAATGAAATAATACCAGAAGAATAAACTGTTAGGGAAATTTACGTCCTTACTGGAGGCTAAGAACTTTGCAGACACTTTATGACTTGATTCCAGGTGGCCAAGCCGCTCAATCTGGTGCATGGACGCGCATCCTCTGGGTCATGCCATTGGTGTTCGTTGTTTTAAACACTCCATTCTATGTAATCATGATGATAGAAGTGTTTTGGCAAGTTGTCTATCATTCGCCGCCCGAATTCGCTCATCGATCTCAGGTCTTTGTGGTGAGTTCAACAAATTCTTACAATATCAACTAATCAAAGAGAACATTATATCGTTACAGATGGTTTATAACACTGCTCATTATCTGTATTATATCAATACAGCAATTGATGTATTGGTTTATGCATTCTCAAGGTATTTTCTACTTTTCCAAAGAACTTGTTGAGAAATAATGGAAATTTTAGCGCAAACTTCCGAAAAACAGCCGTCATAGCCTGGAAAAGAATATTATGTCCAGGATATGAAGAGAAGTACAAACACAAGGTAAGCCTTATCCCTTTCAAAAATTTTCGCTTTTGTATAACTCTAAAGGTATCTCAGTATGAAATAATCAACATTACTGCAGAGCATTACGCATGGACATCATTCTTGCTCCCAACCGCAACCTGTAAATTCAAGTATCGAGAAATTTCAAGTGTCTAATGTACTTGCAACCTCCTCTTTCCCAAGTGTACATCCTGCCCTTCCCGACCCGTACATATATCCCTTTGAGGTGATTCATTGTGGTGCAGCTTGAGAACGAGCGCATGCCTAACTGCATGTACTCCTGTTTTTACGGTAAATCGCTAACAAGAAGAAGCTCTAACAACTTTTGAGCCGAAGAAAAAACGCAGGCTTTTTGGCTTTATCTTAAACGCTTGCTTGCAAAAGGGTTCATGAACTATATGTGTGTACCTCTGCTTCCTCTGTCCATCGGAATCTTAGAATCAAACGCTGCCATTCATTGATAGTTTTCGAGTCACAAAAGGTCTCACGTTTTCAGCGTTCTTCGCATAACCTTTGATTCAACTGGCTTGGCGGCTGGAAGGCTGGGCTTTGTGACCTAATTAAGGCCACTCGTGCCCGCGACGCAGTCTGCGTCGTTCCCGCGCGCGTGCTCTCTGATCATTGCCTGACCTTAAAGCCCCGCCTTCCAGCCACCAAGGCAGTTGAATCAAAGGATAGCTTACAAGTTTCTTGCGCCTTGCATGCTTCCCATTCATTCCCCCTTCATCCTCCTCTTCCCATGTGACCTGAATTATCTTACGCCGAACTCAGTGAGACAAATCCTCAGAGTGTTTCACAAAAGGCAATTCTCCTCGTCATCAATGCTTTGGAAGTAAAAGACCAGTGGCCCTATTATCAACGAATCCAGTGGCTCCGGAACCCACTGGGTAGGCTTAGCCCAAAAGATCGGTATTCACGAAGCTAGTGGGTTCGCGAACCCAGCAACTCCTTTTATGAATATCGATCCAACCCAGTGGCACTGTTTTCCTTTACTACTGGGTAGCGGAACCCACTGGGTTCGTTGATCAATACGGAGGGCGTGCAGGAGTTCCTAGCACCTTTCCTCGCACCAAGTTCGCACCATCAATCGCACCCAGGAGAGTTCGAGCACCTCCGCATCTCAGAGGTCAGGACCGCCCATTGCTCCACCCATAACTGCCCTCATTATGAGGTAAGCAAGTAGAGAAAACAGAGAATTGGAAATTGAAGTATTGAGAACGGAAAAATTGGAAAAAAGTAGTTGTCATTTCATAGTTGAACTACATGAAAATAACTATGAACATGTGATTTTCACTGATTACAAACTTCAATAATAAGTGCGCTTTATTCAAGTTAGTATAAAACTTAGTATGAATGCAGCGCCCAGTTTTTTTTCAAATTGGCGGTTACCATCTCGAAATAAATGTTGCCACTCTCTGGATAGTTTGATTTGAAAATTTGATTTTTTAGAATGAAAAATCGGCTGCTCAAAAATATTAGGTCGCTCCGAAAGTTCGCGCAGTTTTTCAGACTCATGCTCAAAACACTTAGGAGATAGACAAACGTTGTAAGCACTATTCGATGCAGAATTTCTTCTTCTTTTCAACGCTATGTTTTCGTTGTGACTATTTCGATAAGCACTGAGATAATCGCCGAAAACTACAGCCCTTTTTACCATGTTTAACTCTTGCTGATTTTTAGAATTTTCATTTTGAGTTTTTGAAGGGCTCTAATAACCACCTTCTAGGGCAAACCTTTTGCAAATTAATGCAACTTTTTGCATTATTTCAAACCCCTCTGTAGAATTTTGCTGAATTATTTCACGAGAGCACTGAATTTTGAAAAAATTGCAAGACACATAATTGCACCAAACACGGCGAAATCCCCAAAATATTGAAGTTCTGGAACTCGATTATCACTATCACTAGTATTACGAAGTAAGTGAGCGATTATGGCGTGAAAATGGATTGGTTTTGGAATTTCTACTACACCCTTGCGCACCCGTAAAATTAAAAATTACAGCGATTTTGTCTGCAAAAGTCACATGTCTCGCAAAGAAAAAGTAGCTGTCAGGAAGAGGAGGAAAAGATGCATCGAATGGTACCTAAATTGTTCAGCGTCTGGTTCTGCGAGGTTGATGAGCCAAATATAAAATTTGATCACTTCAGAAAATATATTTTAGTAATTCTAGAAAGCATGCAAGAGAGATGCAGCGTGAATTTTCGGAGCGACCTAATATAAATAAAATTTAATCACTCGTGCTTTTCTTGAAGAAAATCGCTCATACTACTAGAAGATTTCGAAATTTACATATTGGGTGGCCAAATTAGATGCTGGCTTGGGGCATTCAGCGTTCGACTTCCCAAATAACTGTACTTATCGAAGGCTAGAAATCTACTTTTCGTAGATTCGACAATAGAAAAAAAATTTTTGTAACGAGTTTTTGGTTCCCTTCATTCTAATATGCTGTTCATATGCTTGGATGTTAGTACTTGGACGCTTGTTAAACACGTTCTCTTTTTTGGAGATTCGAGCGCTTGACACAAGGTAATCATCTATAGCATAGCATAACAAAAGATTTCTAAGGGAGCAGGTAAAGGTGGCGAAGGAAGTGTTGCTCTACTTTTCTTTAAGCATAACTAACACTGGTAACCAAGATTTTGTGAATTTATCTGCACTCATTCGCTGTTTCTAATGTTTGAAAGGAAATTGAATTCGATAAACGAAATATCTCGAATCAGCTTAAGTGGTCCTCACTTTTTATAAATACAACGATTCCACTGCGCTTGCACAATCTAGAATGAGCGCACTTAGAAGGCGGAGAAAAAGGCGGAGCCGTTCCTCGACCTGTGAAGGTGTGATGTCCCTTCCAGGTTTCTCTGAAGGTGCTAATCACTCCTGCAAGGAAAGTCGGCGAGGCTTTGGGAACTCCTGCCACGCCGCCGATCAATACAGCCACAGAATATACCAAACGATATCCTACTCTAATAAAGGCAGATCTCGTTTCCCAAGTCCAGTCAGGACCTATATACTAGGTGTCCTTTAGTTACTAAATTTTATGATATTGTTTGTCAATCTATCGGAAAAGCACGGGAGCTTGATTTCAAACGAAGACTAGTTCAAAATTTCCACTTCTTTATCTAGATCGTATTGGCATATATTCCCGTTTGCAGTAGTCCCTTACGTGTCAAAAGTCTCTAACGGAACGATGTCTTTGAAAAATTACTCATTCCTCAGTAATTTTTTCAATATCCAAGTGTTTTGCTGTTACCATCAGATTGCAGCAAATGGGCCTATATCTTGCACATTTGAAAATTCCACTTTTCATCAGTTTGAAATTTTTCAAATTATAAAACTAAACGCTTACAATTAGGAAAAATCCTGTAAATTACTACTATCTTGTTTTTGTTTTTTATCAAAATTTGTGCGTTGAGTATATCATCACTGAGGGAACCTTATCTGATAGAAAATTCACCCTCTTGTTCTTCAAAACCAAGCATCTGGTGGCATGCTAACCTTTTCTTATGTTTTTTAGAAATCATTAAATACTGAATAATTTTGTTTTCAGGTGCTACTGACAGATCAAATGACGACTCGTGGCAGTTATCGCGTGAGCACACAAAATCGACGACAAAGTGAACGATCCTCGCCAACTCTGGTTCGAAATAACAGCACGAAGCCACTGATGGACACTAAAGTACAGATGAACTGCACGAATATATAGCCTTACCATGGCTATCAGTTTCTGTTATGTTGATCTTCATTGATTTTTTCACTAGTCGATTGAATCCTGAACTGAAAAAGTCTCAGGAAGACAAAGCGAGCATACATCTGTGTCTCATCACATCATGTCATATCCTGCCTTTCACATTCTTACAAGTGTGGATATCTATGTTGTGCCATATACTTTGTTTTTGTACATTTTGATGTAATAAAGCATTTTGTCTTTTCGTCAATGTACACAATGCAATGCAAAATTTGCAGAATGGTCTGCTTTCACTTGGCGTTGAAAGCCGTAATTTCAATCGAATTACAGTGACCCATGATAAACCTCCGTCATTTCAGTGTAGCTGAGGTGGACCCAGTTGACCTTACGACGCCTCAGCTCAGAGTAAACGCAGCTATGTATCCTCAACCATGTATCCTTATCCTTAACACGGGTCGGTTTGTGTATACATAAGTTGCGTTTTTGGAAAAGAGAACGGTTGGAGGAACTGCAGAGACGTGGATCACCCATGATGTTCTGGTTAAGAGGGCTGCGGTACGCGACTCGCAATGACAGCATTTGTGCTGAAAAATGCCATGCATCGAAAATAGTGATGCTGACCTTGAACACACTTTTCCCACCAAACCGAGAAGAGTGAAGGTTCATGTCATTCAAATGCCAATAACGATTGAAATCGACTGTTTGAATCGATTGAAAATCTTTAGACCTACGCTAAACAACCTATCAGATGAGCATACTAGCATGAGAGATGCAAATCTTTTCTTGGATTTTTCCTTGCTTCTCTTTTTCATATGTCCTTTGTATGTGCAACTAAAAATGTATCTTTGGCTTGAGCCAGCTCATTGATAGACCGATCTTGCGTAGCACGTAGCTACATAATGGGACGGTTTAACGTAAGCTTAGAGTTAATTGTGTTACAGCTGATCTGCACCTTTGTTTGATTTGTTTGAGAACCCATAAGTGCTATATCTCGTTGCTATTTTTTCTAAATTCTTGTTCCTCGGGATTCCTCGGGACATTTTTTGGGTAGAGTCTAGCCAAAACAGTGAACCAGAACTCATACATTTTACCCAAGTACGACAGAAGTTTTTTTTGATTGGGCGGAGTGAACTCACCTTTATCGTCGGTTAGATAAATCATAAGAAAACTGTCGAAAGCTTATGAAATCCTTCAAAACTAGGTCTTTGTAGAAACATTCCGATTTTTAGGGGCGCTCACAGACAGGGGACATAGAAAACAAATTCCTAAAACACTTGCTGCAACACAACAATTACCCTACACTCACAAACAAAATTCTAGAACACTCACTCATTAGTTGGGTTGGCGATGGATTCACCGAGAAAAAAATCGTCGCAAACCAATGATTTGGTCTGTTTTAGATGACTCATTTCACGATTCAGTACAATACAGGATGGGGCAAAAGCCTGAAAGCAGCCTAGTGCTCATTCAGCTGAAACCAGAAGGAAGGTAGTTGGAATCCATTACTTTGGTGCACACCTAAATCGAACCTTTACAAACACACCGCAGCTCTCAAATTTTGAGATTGCCTTTTTTGGCTTCAAGGCAGCCTTTCGAAATTTTAGCGCGTCAGTCTGTCGTGGCTTGCAGGCAGTTGTGATGAAGGTTCGTCAATTCACGGTGACTTTTGCAATATTTTGGAAAAGAATTTGGAATTCTATGTGGAGGCAAGTGTACTTGCATACTGAAAGTTTAAAGGCGATTGCGCGAACAGGAGCGAAAAATCACGATCTGAAAAGTATTGGAATTGCTCCATCGATAAAATTCAAATAGATGCCTATGTAGAAGAGTCATGGAAAGAATATGGCTCAAAACTCACCTGCTGCACTCGTATAACTTTCAGATTTATTCTAAAGACAAATGGCTACTGGCACGCAGAAAATATTCGTAAAGTTTTATTTTGCGTTTTTGAAAGGATAGTTTTTGGCAACAACTACTACGATGGACAGCGCAAAGCCTCCTCTACATTGCTCAATGTTGTAGAAAATTCACAGCATTTTTAGCCATGAAATAAATTGTAAACACTAAAAATTTTGATTTTCTCGCTCTGCAGAAGCACTTGTTTGATAAATCCAGTTCTTAAAAAAATATGGCGAGCATTTTTAGCTAAGCAAAGTGTGAAGAGTATGAACGCAGGATTATGTGGTATAAACTTGGAATCGAAATCACCAGTAGTTTCGTGACTTACAAAACTACAAAGTCGGCTCTTAGACTTTTGCCCCACCCTGTAGTTCTTCAAAATAAACTACTTAGACTGTTTCATTTTAACGGCTATGTTGCGACTGATCTGCGGTTAGATCACAATTCTGATCACACACATAGATACTTTTCGCAATCATTTTTTTTTCACAAATTTTACATCGAGTTATCATCATTGATTTAGAACTGAGTGAGATTTGGTTAAATTGGAGTACCCTAATTTTACGCGTACAAGGCGCGGGGTGGTCCTAGCTTTCATCGAGCTGCTCAGCCGCCCCAACGTGTTTTAAGAAGCGATCCTTATGCCGCACGATTCGTCAGGCAAAACGCAGCACGGTATGGGGTTCCTTTGGTTGCGAAGTCCTTTGCCGTGTTCGGGCTGGTCGATGAAAGCTAGGACCACCCCGCGCCTTGTACGCGTGAAATTAGGGTAATAAGATCTGGCGCTTAGATTTCTGAGCTACTCATTAGCACTAAATTTTAATGAGATCTTTCACATCTATGTTTCCCAAACTTTCCCAAACGGTAACAGTGATTGACAGCGATTATCACCAAATGGATATGGAGCTTTAACACATTGACGACCAAGGCGTTTCGCGAACCGGTCAACATTTCTTAGACAAAATCACGCGTAATTTCTTCTACAGTACACCTATAGTAACTCTGGAATGCTTGCAAAAACAGTAAAGGTTGTGTCTAGATCCAGCACAAAAAAAACTCCCGGAGTGGGTTCAACACAAAATAGTAGCCACTTCAACGATACACATGGTGTGTCAAGCCTTGGCACACCATGTTTGTCACTTTCACGATTTTTTGTAAAAAATTCCATCATAATCAAAGAGATAAGGGCTAGGTGGTTGTCTGCATTGTGAACAGAAGCGAGATCTATAGAATCCACGAAAAGAACGCGTGAAAAGAGTTAAGCTAGGAACAAAACAAGAGATTTTCGAAAACAAGGTTTTTGTCGGATTTCTCGTTCAAATCAAGAATTGATTTTGGAACGTTTTCAGCGTGAAAATAGAGATCAAGAGCTTTAAAACGTATATCTTGTCAAAGTTGGGTTCGAAACAGCGGAGAAAAGGGTACCAGAGCCACATGCCCCACGCCTCGCGTTTGGGGTAGCGAGGTAGCGCGCAGCGCGCGGAGACGCAAGCAGCGAAACAGACCAGAGAAGACGGGGCATTTGGTTCTGGTCGTAGACTTCCGCGGGGTCTCAACGAAACCCTGCAACATTATATATCATTCTGATCGCCATGACACGACGAGGAGAACTGACAATGACTCAATTTTTGAAAATTACTCATTAACGAGATAGACCAGCGTTTTCGTGCGCGACCCTCTGCGCAAGATTTAAGCGCAGTTTTTTGTTTTCTTTTGACTCCAATAGCTTTCCTGAAATTCTGAAATCGATTTTGTTCAAATGAGAGGTTAACTGAGAAATTTTATCCTGAATTCCACAGAAACCTTCTTTTTAACGCAAAAAGCTATGGAAACGCAAATTCTCGGTTTCGCTCAAATAAGCTAAAGATATTAGCCCTTATCCCCTGTATTTGCTTCATTAGCATTCGTTCCGATATAGCCAGGATAATAACATCCGGAACGAAGCCCCGGATTAGTTCTGTTTTTTTTCCCAGGTAAAGGTTGTGTCCCCTCATAGCCCTCAAAGTGAAGATTACTAGAGTACGTGGCTCTATGTAACGAGGGTATGTGCGAGCGGAAGGCAGAAACAGCAGCAGACGTCTCGATACCAAAGTTTGCGAGTTCAACACTAAAAGCTTGGATTCTCCCTCTCTACTTTATTTTGCTTTCCTTCAGAGCAGAGTTAAATCGTCGTTTGCGGCCCGTCGTAGATCCTTCTTCAGCTCAACTCGACTGCGACTGGCCTACGTTGGACGCAGGACGCCTCAGTGGCATTCGGCGAGCTATTCATCTCTTTGCGGATCGCTTCCGAGACATGATAGTCATGCGTGTTCTTGAAAAGAGACCGCTTGTGTCGGTTTGGTTAACGGGTAGACGATTGAAATTGAACGCGCGGCCGTGGTTCGACATCGGCTAACGCCACAACTTTTGATGCATCCCCGGCAATCTTTGATAGCGGCCACTATCGCAGAATCAGTGATGATCGCTATGAAGGATTTCATCTAGCAAGCATGGATAAAACAAAAACACATATTTTGACAAACATCTCATGAAAAAAAATGAAATGGTTGCAACATGAATCCATCAAAATGAATAAACGAGTTTAACAAATATATGCACTACCACAACAGAGCTTTTATCGCACTTAGATAGTTTGAGTAGTTTTCGCGTTGGGTCCATCGTTACTAGTCGAAGGATCAGGACGCTTGTTTGAACCTCGTACTTCGACAATACTGTTTGATTTGCCGTTTCTATTTCTTTCTTCTATCATCGCCTCCGTTAATGTGGAATACTTGGTAGGGCCTCTTCGAGTGTATAGTACTGCAGGAGCTTAGTTATTGACACATACAGAACAGGCATACTTGCTTTTCTATCCTCAAGATCAGCTCTGCGGCGCCGGTTCATTTTGGCTATAATCAACCTCCTGAGAGCACAAGAGAGGTCGTAATCATTACGTTTACTTGGAGTCATTACACGACCAATTGAAGTCCATTCCTCTGAAATCACATGAGCGAACGAGGTCTCTGTTCAGCAGTGACCTACTTTCACTTACAGTTATTGAGATATTTCAGAAAAAACTCGATCTGTTGACTGTCAGTTAAGGGGTTATTTTTCCAACTCACTTCGTTTAGTAGTGCACCGGTTGGTAGTGCAAAATTGTCGGACCTGCTCCTGCCGGAAGAACGATGTACATGTCGGAAATGTTTGCCAAATAATTGACCGGATCCAAATCCATAACCGCTTCTTCACTCTCTTTAAAAAAGTCAGACTACACGGTGGGCACAGGATAACTGGAAAGAATGACATGTGCGATATAGAGATTAGTATAACAAGGCGAGCTTCTGCACTGAAGACTGGTC